GAACAGGTTCCCCCCCCCCCCCCCGCCCCGTGTGTTACAAGTGATCTATCTGCAGGCGCACGATTTAGCCGGCGCTATTGCCCTATACGACCTACAATTGGTCGGACGATAAATTAAGCCAACCGCTACAGGGTTTGATCAATTTGTCATTCTCCGTGAAATTAAAAAAAGGAGATACGTGACTTCTCTCCGATGAGGTCAAATTAAAACCAAAAATATCACGATTTGCATTGATATCCGCACCGGTTCACTTGCTACTTTTATTGTAGGGGAAAAAATCGATACAGCCACGTAGTTGGCCATTGACATTGGAACACCGCCATAACCTGCACGCCTTCGTGTTTGTAGAAGTGCTGCTACGTCGGTATGCTGCATGCTGAAGTGGTTGAGCACGGTGTGAATGAGATCGTCTCTGTGTGGACGAAGAATCTTGCCAAAGATGCGATTGGCTGGTGATGTTCACGAAGTAGAATTCCCGTGGACATAATGTGATGGAATGGAGGTGCAGAAGAATAGGTTGACAGCCTGTTCTAGGGTATTTGTGACGTGAATCGATGACATTCTATGCGGTTCGTCGAGTTCTGAGTTTCCGAGAGTCGCAAATACGTGTGCACAAGTCGAAGAAAACCAGAACCTACGTATCAGACCCACAGCTCACGTTTCGATGGATCCCTGGTTTGACAAATGCCAGATTTCGCTATTTAAAATACATGTTTGCACAACCGGCGAGTCGAGATGAATCGTTGGCTAGACATCAAGATGGGGTCGTTTGGATAGACATCGGTGAGGAGTTTGAAAGATGATTAAGTTTACTTCGTTGCAATCAAAGAAATCCCTGTCGATTGCTTGCAATTATTAGCCTCGTGTTTAATTCTCGCAATGTCCTTCAATCAATTTTAGCAAATCCGACACGAAGCTTTGATGTCCATGCCGAACTGGACAGCTTCTGTGGGCGCGGACTGCGCAAAGCACGGGCAAACGTCCAACTTCTTGTTGGGCATCGTGTGAAGTTCTTTCTTGCCTCGCACCAGCAGGACCCATCAAAGAATTTGAGAAAGCGGTTGAAAAACAATTCTGCCTCGTTTTTTCCGGAGCATTCAGGAAATGAACTGTGGCGCTGCCAAAATCGGTTGAACTTAGAGGTGTTCTAGTGTGACCTGTTGAAAGTAAGCATTCCTGAAACTCAACCCACTTCAAATGAAGCAGGCATGATTCATCACGACGTACTAAGAGGCTTGGACGTTGACCGAACGGCTGACTACCGTCTGGCCTTCAGTTTGCGATCTACGGGAGCGACCTTCTAAGAAACTTCTCCTGAATCAATGTGATTGGCTTGAATGTCAAGGACATTTCAAGTTCGCATGAGATTTTTCCGTCTTTCATCCCAGCCAAGACGAGAACTTGAGTTAAATTCATTCACGAAATCACCAACTGTTACACTCCAAAATAGGCCAAAACACCCACTGTTGTAGGAATGAAGTATCAAACAAATTTTGCTAATTTTTTTCATAGTTTTGTTCAGTAGCCTTCTGTATTGTTTTTATTATTATTATCAATGTGCACATGTCTCTGTTGCCATGACGACGGATTCAGCATTCTGTTGTACGCGTCAATAGAACGAGATGGAGTTGGTTAACATGTGGTGCACACTTCCCCTCCGTGCTTACTTTATTTTTAATTTAATGAATGAAATTCCCGTCATTGGGGTCGAACCTCATTAATTTAACCATGAAATTTGATACCCAGCAAACTTCTCAAGTACACACGAACGGGATTGGGTCTACCACATCCAATCAGCTGCCGATGGTGCCAAAAGTACTGACCAATAAGCATTAGACTTGTGATTTGGCTGCTATGGCCACGCCATAGGCAAAATTTGGGTGGCCGGTTGAAGTGAATTTTACTAAACCAGGAAATTTAATTGACGCCGTGTATATTATTTGTTCTAAATCGGAATATTTTCAACAGATAATCATACGCCAAGCAGCATCACACACGCTTGAAAGTAGTGTTTAAATTATCTAAATAGGAATGTAGCAACGGTAATTGATTTGACATTGAGAAAGCGCAGACTTTGATAGTCGGACATGTTTGCATTCTTATCTACTACTTGCCATGGTTTTGTTTGAATGAATGAGTTTAAATTCCCACTAATCTGATTGGTTATGACGGTTCGGAGAGGGAATTTTTACTCGTCGATAGGTTAACTCAATCCCGTTTCGAAAAGAACACTTTCCTGGGGAACAGAACCCATCTTTAAAAAGGTTCACTTACAAAACGCGCAGACATTGGGCCAGCCATTTGTTGAGGCATTCCTGCTGATTAACTCATTGAGTGTGTGAAACTCTGTTCGAGTAATCAGACACCAAGTATTAGCGTCTTTTTGCTTGAAAAACCGTCAACTGTGGCATGGTTTTGGGCACACATCCCAGACGTCCACACACACACACAGATGTGCACAAGTGACCGTGCGCACGCACGCAAAACCCTTCCCCCAACCTACTATGACCTTTAGCCGTTGTTTTGCACACCACACATGCCAATTTTACCCTTCTGTGGCGTAGGCATCCCTCAACAAAACGCAGATATGGCCGGGATGATGTTTGCATGTGTCAGCCGATATCCAGTGTTCTTGGGCTGGTATGTGTTCCACTTATCGCTTCGAATGAAAGCAGCAAATTCCTGAATTTATAAGCAACGTCAAACAACAACAACAATAATTCAGGACCTTGATCGTCAGAAAAACTCAAGGCGTTTTTCTGGATGAAGGTCAATTAAAATCCACGCATTTGAAGACCCCAATTTACAGTCCTCGAAATTCAATCGACAGCGCTTTGAGCTTATCAACTCAGTAAAACAACGAATTATTCGCTTAGATTATTCAAAATAAAGCCATTTAAAATTACTGTATTTGTGATAGAAGACTGATTTCCTCTTAGGATAACCAGTACAATACCAGCTCCCTTGTCATAAACTGGTCGCTAAACCGCGTTTTCGTTGCCAATTAAAGGTGTATATTTATGATGACGAAATGCGTAATACAAGTTTTTACTGCGAAAGACAAGATTGTGCGTCTTTTTGATTGATTCAACACGATACATCAACACTGAGAATACACGTGTCCACGTATGACGGGCTGGTCAAAGCATCCACGGCGTGTTAGCCAATGGCAGACGTGCTTGCCCTTGGCCAATGGGAGCGCAGGAATACGCACACACGGCACATGGCAAAACGCGTACAGACGCGCGCCTTGTAGCAGCGCCCAAATAACCGTCGTGGATATCCGTACAATAATTCCACCCGCCCACACGCACACACACACATGACCCTCGTGTACTACAATCTCTCTCTCCCCTGCCATGAGTAGCAGCACGCGCTTACCTGAGGATTACTAGAGCATTCACAGCCGCCTCTCTGCAAAAATGATATTTCAGGCTCTGCCATATTTACTCATTTATCCACTAATCTGTGCCCAGCGGATGTACCACGACGGTAGGGGCATCTTTGCACAGGAGCAGATAGAGCTACAGGTCTACGAGAATGCCACAGTTGGAAGCGTCGTGATTCCAGACCTGCGTGACTACCTTCAGGTGTCGCCGGATCGCCAGATACGTCTTGGACCGGGTTCATTGGGGTCGTTTTTCTCGCTAACCCAAAACTACACGCTGCTGGTGCAAAGCGATTTGGACCTGGAGTCCGGTGAGCTGTGTCGAGCCGAGGAATCGTGTTGTAGGTCAGAGGCCGTCATCAGAGACGACATCTACCTGAGTTACACACATTTCACGCCCAACTGTAAGCTCAAAGCCGTCGTGCTTGCCAACGCGGGCGGTTCTACGCCACTCAAACCAATCGGGAGGATTGTTGTGGTGATACGCGACCTAAACGATCACGCACCAGAATTTGTGCTGCCAAAGGGAGATGCGCATTCCGTGGTACAACGGATTCATATCCCATTTTTTGAGGGATTCAAGGGTGTTGGTGAGAGGTTTCAGTTGCCAACAGCCAAGGATCAGGATTTTCTTCCCGAAAACTCGGTGGTAACCTATTCACTCACTAAGCTTGGGGTGGCTGGGTTCTCAGAGTCCAGTCCGAATGAAATTCTAGCCTCCAACGATGCTCCAACCTGGCAGTTAGTGGGTCCGTTTCGGCTTGTTCACAAGCGCAAGGAGGATTCCTTAGCTCTGGAGGTGGCCAGAGAACTGGATCGCGAAACTCAGTCAGAGTACGAACTGGTTCTCCACGCCGCGGATGGTGAGGGAAAGAAGGCAAGTTTAATCCTCCACGTCCACGTCCTGGACGTGAACGAGTACGCCCCGACCTTTGTTGGTGTGAAGCCGTTCGGTGCAGCCGAGATTTCGGAGGGACTCGAGTCCAACACACGCGTGGTTCACCTGTACGAAAATGCCTCAATTCACACGCCCTTCGTCCAGGTTATTGCTGAGGACAAAGACGCCCCGCCGGCCAATCGAATCACCTACAAATTCGCCAACAACTTCCACCTGAGCGAGGCCGCTTCGGTCTTCTCAATAGACCCCAACAACGGCCTGATTAGGCTGGAAAAACCGCTTGATTACGAGCGCATTAAGCGCTACGTGCTTCCTGTGTTGGCGATCGACGCGAGTTACGAACCCACCTTCGGCGAGGAGAAGGCGCTGACACAGGCCGCGCAGAAGGTAGCCCAGGAGATCGCTGAGAGCATCAAGAAGGAGCCAAAGACCTCAACCATGACTCTCGAGGTAAGGGTCAATGACTGCAACGATCATGCCCCTGAAATTAAGTTGCAAGGCACCGTCAGCAACGCCGGTGAGGTCACGAGGACTGGCATCGAGGAATTGACGGTTGTTGAGAACTCGCCACCCGGCACTTCGTTGGTTTTCTTCAGCGCTGTCGATAGAGACCAGGGAGATGCCGGTGCCACCCAGTGTCATTTGCTGAATTGGACTGAATACTTCCGAATCCACAACTTTTCCGACTTTTTTGGCCTGGAGACATCGAGGGAATTGGATCGCGAGGTGCAGCCGGAATATCTCATAACTATAGAATGCTCGGACAACGGCAGTCCCCGTCAGTTCAGTCAGAAACGACTTCGAGTAGTCTTGCTTGACGTGAACGACGAAGAACCGTCTTTCCAGCATCCTGTTTACTCTTTCCACGTCCTGGAGAACAGTCCGCCCATGACTAAGCTGATTCCTGTCAGCGATAGCTACAAAAACCCAGTTACAGCATTCGACAAGGACACCAATTCCACGTTAACTTACCACCTCGAACCGTCCATGTTGGCGGACTCGGATCAGAGCAACATGTTCGACTACCAGCTGTTTGATGTGGACTCGGAGACGGGAACTCTGTACACCAAAAGCGCCTTGGACAGGGAGCAGAAGAGTAGTCACAAATTTAGTCTTTGTGCCAACGACGGAGTCCACAAGGCCTGCACAAACATCATCGTGCATCTTGACGACGTGAATGACAACCCCCCGCTCTTCGATAGGGAGACCCACATCATCAGACTTGTGGAGAACACTCAAATCTACGAGCCGCTAATCACCTTCAACGTGGCTGATGTCGACATTGGAAATCAGGGCTTCACGTTCACAATCGAAGCCCCACAACTAACTACCAATGAATCCGACTCACAAGACACCGCCAACTACCTTCAACGCTTCTTCAATATTCGAGACAATAGGCTGTTTCTACGACAGCCTCTCGACAGAGAAGCTAAAGCTCACTACCACTTTTTTGTTCGGGTCGCGGACTTGCAGAAGTTTCCTTCAGGTCGTCTTCAGGAGAGCCTCTCAAGCACCACCGAGGTCTTCATCGAGGTGTCCGACATCAACGACAACGTGCCTGTATTTATTTTTCCCAACACCAGCGCAGCGAACGACGGAGGGAACCAGCTGAACGTCTCGTGTCGTGAAACGATGGGCAGTTCCGTAGGTCGTGTCGAGGCCATTGATTTGGACCTGGGGCAGAATGGAACCGTCGTCTACTCGGTGATTCAGGGACCCGTGTCGAACGAGCTCTTCTATCTCGACAAACAGTCCGGTGAGCTGTTTGTCAATTCGGGCAGTCTCAGTGAGAACTGCGACTCCGTCTTTCTTCTGGTCATCTCCGCTGACGACATGGGACCGCCCAGCAGTAAGAAGGGTCGGCCACTTCCAGTGGAACGACTCCTGATTCGACTGCAAGACCAGCCCACGCTGGCCGAATACATGTCCTTGAATTCTCAACAACCCTCCAGCGCTCGGGGTAGCGATGGCTCTCGTGGCGATGCTGGCTACTTCGGTCTGCCAGCAAAGACAATGCTGAGTGTCGTGCTGGGTGGATGCATCGTCTTCCTCACTGGACTGTTTCTGGCCTGGGTCATCTTGATGCTCATCAGTCGGTCGAAACGACGACGCTGTGAGAGAAGCGAAGACGCTGAATACCAGGCAGTGGCTGCGCAGTGCTTCGAAGCGGCTACTCTCCATCCAAGCGGCAAGCACGACATCTTTGTGCACCCCTCAGGAACTTTCGCGCGCGGACTGGGACTCACTGCAACAGCACCGGTGTTGCAGTATACCCTCGGAGCGAAAGAGGGCAGTCTTGAACCCCGGGGTAAGCTTTTCCGATTTTTAAAAATTTTGTTTAAATGTAGGCAACCCACTCTGTCTAATCCCAATTCACAGAGAAGACATTTGACGTACCTGATCCGGTTATCTATCGTAAACTCTTACCAATTAAAACACCAAATTTGGGCAGAGGAATGAAATTATTAAACAGTGAATCGTCAGAAATCGATTTAACTACTTAAAAGTGATTGGTTGATAACTGAACCACCTTAAACTGCACTGTCAAAACTCAGATTCTTTTTGATTTTTAGTCTAATTAGGATAAAACAGCTGTGTTTAACTGCGCCTACTTTTAGGCGTTTGATTAATTCCGTGTGTGTTGGGGCGCAGGCACCTTACTCGTCAAGGTCACGTCAGGCCCGTCGTCATGTATTTCCGTGCTTCTGGTGTGGTAGTTTTTGAGGAAATTTCTGACTTGGAAGGCCTTTAACACACACGAATTACGAACTGGTGCCCTGGGCCTTGGAACTACAAAAACAACTTTTGTTTCACGCTTTCAGGCCGATGATGACAGCCTGCTAGTGACTAGGTGGCAGTAGATTCTGCATTTCCTGATTGTTAAATAAACGGGCAATCCTAGTTCTCCCTCCGTCTGTTTCCTTCAAATCAATCAACGTTAGTAATTAAACCTCACCAATCTACTCGCGTGTGAAGTTGTTTGATTAAAAATCTTTCCAGAGCTTTCAAGCTTGACTTGGCGGTAGGTTATGATCGAAAGTTCTTGCAATGTTCGTTCACGACATATCCCAAATGGCGTGCGCATACACGCGAGACTTGTGTAAATGTTGACCGTCTTCATTTTGCCGACAAATGAAGGAAGAACAATGCATGTTTTGTGTTGCTGAATTCCTATTCCTAATGTCACGTGCGTGGCCTACAGGAGAATCTAGTAGTGGTCACCGGACATTTTTGTCCAGGCGGACAACAGTCCAATTATTGCAGGAAACCATTTTTATTTGTTTTAATCCGGTCAGACTCTCGCGCCCAATTCAATTGGGTGAATTAATTTTGCAAATTGACAAGCTGAAATGCATGTGCATCCAGATAGAATCTTTATCGCTGGGATGAATAAATTTTTTGAGTCTACACAGCCGGCGGTACGTGGGAATTTGATGGTGGGAGCGTAATCTAATCCAGGTTTACGAGGCATTCCAGCGAATGGACGCCATCTAGTCCCATTAAATCAACCTCTGCCTCCCCTTAAATCACCTCGGGGCTCCACTTGGTGCAATTTAATTTTCGGTGCGTTTGTAAATTCATTTGCTGACTAATAACCACAATTTAGTCATCCCAAGGCCAATTTTGGTATGTTTTTATGTAAAAGGTTGGACTGGGGTCTGAAGACCACTCCATAATTAATTCCTTTTGAATGGCCCTATTTTGGCTGTCGGCCTAAATTTCTAACCAATGAGCAGCGTTTGTCGATAATTTCTTGTAAACCAATGTAACTCGGTTTGTGGCGTTTTTTTCTCAGTAATTCTCTCTCCTCGGACAAACACAAAATTATGCAAATGCCATGGTGCTGCAAATTTAAAGTGCATAACGCGCGCAAGCTAGTAATTTAAATATTTGCAAAAAAACGCTTAGATGGCGTTTATCCGCATACGTCGTAGCTATTTCAGGTCCACAAAAGGAAAGTGATGATTCAGGGTTTGGTCGCTGGCAGATGTAGCCATGGCGACGCAGAAACTAGTTTACCTTGATGTCGTTTGCTTTCCACAGAGAAGATTTCCACCCCTCCGCACGCATGGTAAAAAAAATATTTGCTGATTTTAAATGCTTTATACCCCCCACCACGGCCACCTCGCCCTCTTCAGCCTGCCTTCAAGGTCACGCTTGAGAGCAGAGCAAAAATGCCCTTGAGGCATGTACCTGCGGATTGTGAGTGTAAACTGCGCCCGTCTGCTGACACACCATTAGGAGATATACAGCATAGCGTGACTACAGCTAGGATGGCTCTGACATATCACCAGAGGCTTCCGCTGGGAAACGTCTGACCCCAATCACCGATTCTGCTGAAGTGGATGTCTAATTAGCCCACGAAGCCTGTTCACTTGACCCTAGCTGAGCTCCTGGTGACCCCTCACTGGCCAGGCACAAGATTTCCCAAATTTATCACGTATCGTATGGCTGTGTGTGCATCCAGAAACATTAACTCTTGCTCTCCCTCAGCTAAGAAACCTGCCTTTTGAACTTGGTAAACTGCCCAAAAAACGCGTTTTAGAAATGCACGCGGAGCTGTTTGAGGACGACAACACACACGCGAAACACATTGTGCTAAGTGCCTTTTTTGCCGTACCAACAAAGGCCAATTTTTTGGGGGTTTAAAGTGTATCCCCACGCAGTCCAATTCCAGTGGGTTGTACAAATGTCAGAACCGCCTAAAACACGCATCTGGTCACCCATGCACCAGCGTACTATTATTGTCATGCGTTACGTCTGTTTGCGCGGCAATTCATCCACGTAGCGTTTAATTGGGCCATTGTTTTGCTGCATGAGTTATTCTAATCCCATTGTTTCTCTCGTGTTTTAATTAAAATACCTTCTATTTTTGGTGATCACGTCCAATGGCTGTGGAGCAAGGCATTTCAAACCCCTATTTTATTGGATCGCACATGAATTGTTTGAATCAGGACCATCCTATGGGGTCACCTCAAGATCACCGGTGAAGTTTAAACAAAATGACCAATCACAGTTGTTACTTCAGCTATCCTGGCGGGATAAATAAAAATGTGAAACAATACATGCAGAAATTTGTCGAAAAGAGCCCGTAATAGTTAGGAATTCAAAGTAGTCAGTTTCTGGTAAAAATAAAGACCCATCACAAGTGCGTTAAAGTGCACCTATATTTTACAAAAAACGATCCACGAAATTTACGACGGTGTGAAAAATAGCAACTGAAGCCTCACAGCTGTGGCATTTAACGAGATCATTTCACACCACAATAAACAGGCTAGTTGACGTCATGACGATCAGTTGAAAATTCTTTTTCGATCCATGAAACAGCTAACTCGAGTTCATTTTCATCTTGTGCGCTCAAATTTGATTGGATGAGGATTTGTTTTAATGCACCGCTAAATGATAACCTCGCCACAATGGCGATTTCAAGTGAAGTGAAACTAAAGACGTTTTAGAATGGAGTGTTTGGGGTACCGTGATTGAAATGCACTCCTCAAAGTCACTGTTTGCTGAGCTCACGCGTGTATGTGCGTTCGTTACTACAGACTTGAATGTGGACGAGACCGCGTCGTCGAGAGCCAGTCCGTGCGGCCAGAGCATCGGCCCAGAGGCGGCCCACCGTCTTAGTGCCTGTGGAACTGTTGGACAAGGAGGGAGAAAACTGCTTTCAGGAATCCTTCCCTGCCCTTCGATCGTCCCCAGTGGTGGCAATGCTGGTCGACTTAGTCGAGCATCACCATTTCACACGAAACCAACGGTCAACCTTAGTTCCATTGAGGCAAGCTTTTGTTTGTGTAACCTTCAAATTTGACCCTAACTCGCTTCCAACGAGATCGCACCTTTTAGACGAGTTGCCTGTACTGGCAGCCAGGATAAGTTAAAAGTTCATTTACCACCACCACCACCACCACACCACCACCACCACGAGTCACTGACTCTATTCCAACTATTTGTAGAGCAGCTACCTGTCTGCGTCAGTCGTCTAACTTGATAAAAATCAACCAGGGGTAAATTGAAGTCTATTTTGCTTGCTTACCTCCACATCTTTCTCTTTCTCCCTCATATTTTATTCAATGACTTCAAAAAAATGGATGAAAAAGCAGCAGGCTACTTGGAACAAGGCGGTAGAAACAAGTGCCGCGCCGGCATGCGCGACAGTAGGATTGTCTGAGGGCGGAGGCGGAGGAGGCAGTTTCGTTGTGGTGCCACATGGCGACGCCTCTCCAGGTGGGTACTCTAGTTAACCGACAAAAGCCCCTCCCTCACACGACGCTTTTCATGCATTACGGCAGTAGCATTTTCTTTTAACTAAGTGAACATCTAGAGCGGTTTTAATACAAAACAACTCTACATCAAATTTTGGCATATTGAAGTATAACAACATATCGAAAAGCAGTATTTTGTTATCGCTGGTTAAAAATACTGCATCGCATCATGACTCACGTTCTTCTCATTGGCCACACGCCGATTAATTTTTATTTATTGACCTTGGCACACTTTCATAGCTAGTTCAACTTGCTGAAATTGTTTCACCCCAGTCAGTGAGGTCCTCTTTGCTCCTAATCCACGAACAACTCATTCAACCTTTTTGAGGTGGTCTTTGATACGTTCTCCACTTACCCTCCACCCACTTCAAGGTCGCACGAGTAGAATTCAAAGTAAATGCGTCGATGACACCTCTTTGTGTAGGTCGTTTGCCACGGAGGGCGAATATCGTGTTAAAAAAAATGAACAGTTGAAATCCACATTTTTAAAATCCAAATTAAAGAACCCACCAAACACGAATTTACACTCAACTCCTAGCGTAAAATCAATAAAAAAATCGATTTTGCAGTGAACTTGCAGTGCTATTCCATAGAAATGAATTTACGTTTGAAATCGGCACTAATTCACTTGACAGTTGTGCATCTCGGTGGTATTTGATTGCAAGGGCAATTTGTAAAAATTGTTTCCTTTCTCCTGTCAGGTGTGAAAGGGCACTAATTTAAAATTAAACGTGATTACGGCCTATCGAGGAGTCAGGAGGGGGGAAGGAGAAATATAAAGTGACATTTTTGACCACACTCAGGTCTAATACCTTCTTGCAATGATTACATTTAGTTCCTGCCTTCAGCGAGTCGTTAAACTTGAAATCACGGAGGAGATAAGTGGGTGAGATGATGGTTAAATAGCAAAATGCTAATTAAGCCACTGAGGAAAAAGATGCATTATAGAAAGCGTTGACTTTCGAGTTTGGAATGTGTGTTTTTCATATCTTATATTTTTGCTTCCAAGTGTGGTGGTAGGTGAAACCGTTATCTGATACTTGCAAGAACTTGTGTTCAAATGAGGCGAAAATTGCCCGGTCAAATTAAAACCACATCTATGTTTGTTTGATTGCGGTGTTTACGAATGCGAACTGTTGAGTAGGATCCACTTGTCATCTCTTTAACCGCCAAATCTTTGAATCTTCAAATTGTGCCGATAGGAAAATCCACAGTCTATCAAACACTAAGGTATTTTAGCCAACAAGAGATGCCTATCAAATTCTCTGGGTTTTTGAGATTCATGCGACCGGTCTGATTGGTAGAGCCAGTGGTGAAAAGTGGTGCAGCCGATGCACGGTGTGAGTGATTTTAGTATTTTACACCCATTGATCTTAGCTGCCACTTCGTTTGTTTATCATGCAAGATTGGATGCTAGAAAATAAAATAGCACACACACGCAGCAGAGGCTGTGCCTGGGAAATTTCACACACGCGGGAAATTAATTTGCGTGTGATTGAATGAAACTGCTTCGCATTTTGCGTCAGTCAAAGGATCAAGCCTTAATTACCGGCTACGGTGCTCTCCTTATTGAACCCCTAACAGTCGGGGGTGGTGTTTAAGTAAGGTGGTTTGAAGAACGCGGCAAATTTGAACTGCCGCGGAAACACCATCAGGCTCAAAACGACTAGTAAGTCGATCGATAAAGCTACAAATCTCCGCCATCTTGACTGGAAGAATTAATAGGAAACAGCCAAAGTTGCAGGGTTGCTTCTATGCGATTGAAACAATTCCCTCTAATTGCCGGTCAATAGACCTTTAATAAGGGTGATGCGTTTATAAATGAGCAGAGCAAATTTGAGAAAAGGGGTTATTTTAATTAAAAGAAAGGGCCATGCCGCTGTCAGTGAAAGGAGAAAAGCTTTGCCTTCAGCTGCCGTTAATAAACAAAATACACTTGGGAGTAGGCCGAAAATTAGCACATTTTGTCTCATTGGTAGAACGTAGTTGCCGAGAAAGCTCGTGGATATCTTGAGGTTTGCTTTCTAGATTATTTTTCCGGTTTTAACCCTTTAATCGTTTCGAATACTCAATGCCATCGCACTGATTTGTGCATTGCAAGTCCTAGGAGCCAATAATGGGTCAAATGAATATTATTTGTTTCAGCGAGTAGCATAGAGTCAACGCGGTATCTCCTGTTTCCAGGGCTACCGGTGACTTCCGGTGCCGTCGTCAGCGTCCCTAGCACGTCGCACGCCGCCGACTCCACAACTCGATCCGGGTTCAAGCCGTCGAAGTACCAGAGCGCAGATCCATCCACAGACCCACGTCGCAGATCCCAGTACGTCCATGAAGAGAACCAACAGACCCTTCGACAGAACCCCAACGACCACAGATCCTGGCGTCCCTTCCTCACGCCTCCACCGAAACGGAAGTACCTCAAAGCCACGGGAAATGACGAGATCCTGGAAAACGTCCACTTCCTGCTGGCCGACAATGAGTACACCTCACTTGTGAAGAACTCCGTTTCAGCACAAGGCCGCCACGGTGAGAACCAGTACCTTATAATCACAAGCGATGGCGCCGAGGTAGCGCCAGTGTACAACACGATCAGTAAGCCAGTGCCCCGTGGATCTTCCCTTCCCCGCAACCTGCGCGAGTGTTCGAGGTCACCGGAGGTGACGGACGGTCAACAGCTGATTCTCAATAGGATCGATGAGACAGGTGGCGTGCTCCTGGTCCCAAGCGTTTCCCTTCCCTCCCACTCGCCGCTAAACAACGTGATGCCCCCGACACCACACCCTCGAGCTGTTCGCCGCCCTCAAGAAGGCAACCCATCCAGCACTGCCACAGCAACCCGCGTTCCGACAGACTACATTTCTCTTGAAGATCTGTTTAGTTCGTGTGTTTGAGAGGTTATCGGTGCAACCACGTAATATGTATATTCACTCCTGTGGCAATGGCTGTCTTCCAATGTATAATTGATCTACCTAACACTACACTAATATCCTGCTCCAGCCACTTATCGATCGTGTTGGGCAAGCCTATGTACACGTTGGAAAGCACTTAGTCGCTAAAACTAGTTATTTAACGAGTTCTCGCGCAAGCAGAAAGAACATGAATCTGGCCTTAGTTATTGGGCAAACCATCTAACCGTAACCCGAAACGATACATTTAACTTGCATCCTCGAAGTTCAAATCATCATTGGCTGCTGAGTTAAAAGTGATGAGGGTTAAACTTGAAAATGCGAAAATTTTGTTTACAATGAGAGTAATTGAAAGGAGTTCTAGGAAGAAGAACAACACTATTAGAGCCCAAACACAGAATGTCACATGACTAAAAATGAACGCACATGGTTCATTCACATCATTTATCAACAACGAATAACAAAGAATTTGGTACAAAAATACAACAACGAGTGACTTCAGGTAGGTGCGTTGTGCCAGGGCACGAAAATTGATACGTGACGCGTGGCCAATGAGAATAAAGCAGACAGCCTTGGATTTACGGCGCGGAAATCGATTGGATGGGCCTGGATTTATCATGGTAAAAACTGGATGTGATGAACTTCCACGACGTCGGTTGTTGTGTGAGGAATTCTAAGCCTGTTATCTCTGAGTCGACTTCACCAGAAACCACATCTTTGTGGACACTGACGCAAAAATCTTTGACTTTGACAGAAAAGTGATCTTGGGTGCCCCAAGTATATCCAAAACTACACATAAAATGAATGAGGAAATGCCAGCTCAATTTACTGTCCCATCTGTATATAATTTTATCATAAATTCAAATGAAAACTCTCTTTTTCGCTGCCACTAAATTCTTCCGTGTGCGTGTTTGTTTTAATATGCAAGCCCGGAAGTTCTGTGTTTTCGTGGTTTCGATCGATTTGCAACATCTGTGCATTAGCACAAACAGACTTCAAAAGAAGCCGTCGAATCCCGGCGGATTTGGTCGGTTAGAATTAAACATGTGACCTTTAAGTGACTTCACACCGTGTTTGGCGCGTGATTCAAGTGAGGTGAACGAAACCACTTCATTAAACCTGATAGCAATGTTACCGATAAGGTCACTCGCCAGGTTAAGTCGAATTTCCCAAAAAAAGGACATTTTGCGAGTTAGGAATCAGCAACATAAGTTTGAATGTCCACTACAGTTCATTTAACCACGTTTTTCTAATCTTTACGTGTAGGAACGCACAATTCCTGCATTTATTGATTTTTGTGAAAGCGTACAAAAGGGGGTTGCACATGTAACACCCCTCATATCAACGCATTCATTTATTTTAGGCAGTCCTGCAACTGTCGCATCACACCCCACCCACCCACACACACGCACGCACGCACGCACGCTGAAAAAGCGTGTCGTTTGCGTGTATATGCAATACATCATAATTAGATGCAAAAAAACTGAGCAAACACATCGTATTTCCACTAATGCATTTCACACCGCCTGGCCATCATTTTGTCGGCCGTGCTGAAAACAATTTTAACGGTATGCCTGCATTAATGGAAATCACACATTAGTCCCTTCACTGCCCGCATTTACAACAACGCCCAATTCTGGACTCCCGATGGTTACCTTAAAAAATTTAAATTTTCGCGGAATGTCTACGTCGTTAAAATGAGGTACTTGAAAAATGTCCTTACCGCACCTGCTATTGCAAAAAAGTTCAATTTCGAAACTACCGCCTTTTTCAAATTGACCAATGCGGAGCGAGGATGAGTGCCAGCTGAGCGTGCTCATCTCGTTTTGTCTACGGAAATCTTGAGTTCTTTGTTTCCGGTTCACTGCAAATTATTATCAGTATTCTTTGTTTTGTAAACAATGATTTCACTTTTTTCGCAGCGATAACTGATATTTTAACCGCATTGACTATTTGGGGAAATTCACGTGACCTTGAATCATCCACTTAATTGGTAATGCAATCCAGAACAACGATGAAATGAAACTTTTTAGCAAATGTTTATGGCTTTTATCTAACATTTTGCTTTTTCTGATGTCAACAAGCTACTTTTTAGGCATTTTTTCTAATTGTCCTTGGTAATTACACTTGACAGGATGGACGTCATGAACCTGTCACCGAAAGAGCCAATAACAGCTCAGTTGACGTGATGGAAAGCAAAATTTTGTCATCTGACAAATGTCACACATCTTGTGATTCTCGCCACAACAAACCAGCCGCTCAAATGCTCATCAGTAGCTTAATGTCTGGTTTCCAGTAGAATCTCAACTGCAGATTAGGATGAAGGCATGGCAATTTGGATGCATTTAAAGGGCATGATGGAGTTTAATTGGTTAGATTTTCAACTAAAAACAAGATTATAGCGGTTGTAAGTAGCCAACAACATGTTGGTAACTCACGAAGGTCATTGAAATCTGTTAGTAGTTTGATATGCTTACACTGATGGTTATTCACTTGCTTCTATGCACACCACTTTCCGTATTCAAATTAACCACCCACCTCCTATTGGCTCTGTTTTTCTTTGGGTATTGTAGCTATCCTAATTGCGGTCGAGGTCACTCAGAGCAAACGTAATTGGCTCGTTAGTTAGGCTGGTAAAAACCCCCTACATGAGGTTGAATTTTTGTCTCTGAGCATTAACCGCGAACGAACAAAATATCCCTTTCCATCCTTTAGGTATTCTGAGAAAGTCGTAATTCAAACCTGTCAATTTATAAAAATCAATATTTGAAATCTGAACTAAAATCAAATAATCGATGTTAACCCATGGCCAGTAAAAGGGATTTTCATGAATCTTTGAGCATCTATGGCGGTAACGGATAATCATTCCTGGACTTGCCGCGTTTGTGCTAGATGACGGCGAATTTTCACACGAAACTAAATTTACTGCTAATGTTCATTGGTTCCCAAACACCACTTAATTTCGCTACAAGTAGTGCATTCCACAAATAAGCTTTCACACATTATGTCTCTGTCGCGAATCACCAAGTCTAAAATCTATCTAAATGAAACTGGAATCGAAATGAGAATTTGTGCATTTTAGTACGCTTCCAAGGTCATCGACATGGTGACCAATCATTAAGAGAGAGAGTTGTGGCTCTCAGAATTCATGATTAGGTTACGGTCGGTGAGACATTTAATTTTTAAAATTTATTTCCTAGGAGTTACATAATGTCTGTCAGTACTGTCTTGACGGAAATATTAATACACCGTCCTCAGCGACCGCCATAATGGTAGGCGGAACAAGACCGGAATGATCGATGTGTACTATTTTTGGCCATCGTGTTGACACAACACATCTGCAAACCTGCTCCGCCCTCTCTTTCGATCTCACCACGACTGTTCAAACCAAAAACAACTGTCGCGTCAACTAGGGGAAGGTGGTGGCAAAGTGCGGTACACGACCAGCTCCTCCACTAATTTCTAAATCCCAATCAACAAATCCGATTGGCAGGCGAACACGCTTATGAGTAGGCTCTTAAAATTAGCTTCACCAGATGGTCAAATGCTAGTGGCATAAGGCAAAGCTATTCTTTCAACATATGGCTGTTAGTGTTGCGTTTTACAACCAGACAATCTCTCTGATATCCTGATATCCTCTCTGAATTTGCCTGGATGGGTTGCGTCGTTAGTTTGAGTCGACACTACCACTACGATTTTTACTTTCAACCGTGGTCTACGGAAGAGGAAAACGTCGTTATGGATCAAGAAGAGACTTGGAATTAGTTGGACAATTTCGAGCTCAATGATGTCGCCGTACATCAACTTAATTCGGTGAAAACTCACTCTCTCTTTTTACCCAATAAACCAGCTCTGTTTTTGATTGATTTTTATGATTTACTATTTGTCAGCGTGCAAACAAACTGAATTTAGTTTTATCATATGAATTTGAAGCAAACAATACAATCACAATGGACTACGATCCTTCCACTACCAGCTAGGCAGCGTTGGGGGGCTTTTGAAATGGTTGACAAGTGGAAGACTAGAGGTGGGAAAGACGCGACCGTTTACTAAACAGCTCAATCTAGTCATGTAGAGAAGATACGGATGTCGCGCTTTTAGGTATCTTCGTACGATTTTTCAAAAAAATGCTAACACATACAATAATTTATTGGACCTCCCTTTTCTATCCAACTCTTTAGACAGAAAATGGGCTAAAATTTTGAAAAATTTTTTATTCCAACCACTGAGAATAACTGCTGCTGGATTGATGAAAAGTATAAGCTAACTACGAAGGTGATTCATCCGAGTGCCTGAAAATCAGCCACGAGCAGTCGCATTATTTGAATCTTGTTTTTGCTCGCATCGTTTGATTGCAAAAGCCCGAATGTCACTTGCTATTGTTTGTTGTGAAAGGTAGTGATAACGCTTGTCATTGGTCATTTTAATTGAATCAGCAGCCGTAATTTCTAACGCGAGACAAAAAACACAAAACACAACTAGTGAAAACAAAATGGGATGAGTGTTCTTTGGTGGGGTTAGGCTACACGGATTTATCGACACCATCTGTACAATTTCTCACGCAAAAAACCGCATCTGTCACTAAATTTAACCGTTACAGTCTGACATGTGACTCTCTCCATGATTGGGTCTTAAAACTCACATCTGATTGGCACTCACCTAAAAGCTACCTTATTGATTTTTTCCTTAACCAATAGCTTGTGGTCGTGACGCTCTGAACGATTTTCAAAAAACACTGATTTACCCAGCTGCTAGTTATTTCTTCCGAATACACTCTAACAGTGACTGTACAGCGTGGCGATTCGTTAAAGAGAACACGACAGTTGGTTATTTCGTATTTAAACAGTAAATAAAAAAAAGGCCTGCGTGAATCACCCGAATACAATTTTTGTGATTCGCCTGTGTCCAACTTGTTGCCTAGTAAGTTTCACCCATGCACACACACACACACACAATTTTTCCGCACATGGAGCATGACTGACATG